AATAAAAGAAACATTCCTCGAAAGCTGGTTATATTTCAAAACCAATCCTTAAAATTCCGATGCGGATAAATCAGGAAAAGTACTTTATTTGGTTTTTACGTATGAATTCACAATTTTTTGGTCTTAATGCACTCAGAATATTTGTTGAATTAGTGTATCCACAAAACAAGAAATTCTTATTTGAAGAATATTTATAACTTTTCCTTCGCAGTGTGTAAATCAAAAATATATCAAATATTTCTTAATAGTAGTTATTAGGTATTTTTATATATTTTAATATATATATATATATATACATATTTTTATTTATAATAGTCATAAGCGAGTAACGCATCCTAAATATGTGCAGGTTGAACATTTTTAAAGAAGCTGTTATGTAGATAATATATTGCAAGAAATAATGTATAGATGCCTTTCTCCACAGATGATATTTTGCATGCATTTTCGTAAAATGTTAATTAAGTAAGTAATGGTTTGATATAGTTAGAAATAAAGATGTTACTAGTGGATATATATATATATATATATATATATATATATATTTGCATCACTATTAGCTCTCTAATATTATAAGATAAATTAATTAAACTTTTAGTCTTTTTAATGTATAAAATCAAACGAGTACAATAAAATTGGAACTAATTTTTTCAAATAATTTGTTGATAATAATTAATAAGAGGTATTTTTTAAATTAATTTATAAAATTCTATTTATTTTTACTTATATGATAAGTTTCTATCAAAACGTTAATAAAGTATTTACAAATTTTTATATATATTTGAAAATATGTAATGGATAAAATAACATTGACTAATTGCTCCAATGAATAAACAAACAAAAAACAAAATAACCAAATAATTTAACTAAAACTGTTATATATCTTTAATAATAAATAAAATTCTTATAATATAGTCGATTTGATAACAAAAACAAAATACATGTATATGTAGTTTCATTAAATCAATTAAATACAAATTAAATACATACAAAATATAAATGTCAGAAAACGTAATTAATTTACATTAAATTTTGAAACTGATTGATTTAATTAATATTAATTCTTTATTTTTTTAAGTATGCATGTTAGTTTAAATTTTCGAAAAAAGATTCCTTCTACAAAATTTACTTGTGTAGTACTTTATTATGTTGATTCATGAATATTGAGAATTACAATTCTATTAGTTTTTTACATTAACGATAGATTAATATATAATGTTAATAGAGATTTAAGAAATATATATAACTTACGTTAAAAAAGTTAATATTATGAATAATTTTAATTGTTAAAAGTTATTGGTTATTAATTTATTATATGCATATATATTTATAATTGTAATTCACAATATTTTTCATATATATTTTAAAACTTCATATTGTATAATTTTATGTAAAACAAAATAAGATGTGACAAATTTGTCGAAATAAACAATATTATTATTCTTGTTGTTTAATAATTTTATTTTATATTACTTACAAACATTTACAAATGTAACAAGTCAATTCAGTTTGGCGTACAGTACCATCCGGAAACATTACACTAGTAATAATTATAATAATGATGCTAAGAGTAGCGGTAGTAATAGTATAGTTATTAAAGGTAATAACAATAGTAGTCTTCGTATAGTAACCATAGAAACTTAGCGCAGGTAGTGATGATGGTGTTGTAGTAGTTGAGAAATTTGTTCGACCAACCGCAAACGAAATTTTGTGATTTTTACTTATTTTACTTTATATGTGGGTATTTACATATATATGCGTTATGAATAAGAGAGAGAGAGAGGGAGAGAGAGAGAGAGAGAAAGTAGTACATCCGTTGAATAGAAAAAGCAGTAGAAGCAAATACTAATGTTCTGTATCAAACTAATATCGAACGCAAACAGAATTATGTTTTTATATAATAAAATTTTTCAAAATTTTAACGACCATTAGTTACTATAAATTTAATACAGGTGTTTATTTCTAATGCTTTTTATATGCAATAGTTGATAAAACTATCAAACGATGCAAAATTGTTAAAAAAAGACAAAGAAAGAATTAGAGAGTATCCATGTGTATATATAAAGTTACAATATATGAAATATTCGGATTTTTTCCGATGAATATTTGTTTAATAAAATTATTTTAGAGTATAAATACTATTTTGGAAACGCTTTATGGTTTACTCTTATTTATATGAATATTTCTTGTAAATTTTAAACTATTTTATTTAAAAATTTTTAATTAATAATTAGAATTACTTAGGTCATATTTTCATGTGTAAATGTTAGCCTAATGGACGTACACCAAAAATTTAGAGAGAAAAATTTAATAAATACATAAAAAAAATATTAACTCAATGTATGTACTTTAATGTGTGTAAAATTGTGTTGGTTGTGTACGTGCGCGCGTATAACTTTAAGCTTATATTTTTTATTTATATATTTATGATTGTACAGTTAACATATTATAGGCGACAAATCTATTTATTATTAGCCATTATAAAATATTAAATCACTGGGATCGCTAAATGATTTTGTCATTTTAATTCATGTAATTACAAAAATTTGTTCTAAATGGTTTATTAAGCAACATCTATAATATTACTGCTCCTTGAGATTTTAACTTCTATTGATAATATTATTGATAACATAATATTGATTTATCACATATTAATAATAAATAATAATCATTGCTAAACATTATTAGTAAAGTTAATATAACTTTGTAAAAACTTATAAGAAATAATAATGTACGTAACTATTAAATTGAAATCCAAAGAGAAATAATAAATTCGTGTCTGTGTATTATAATTATTAATTTTAAGTACGTATTCAGTAACAGTAGAGTAGAAATTGATCGCATACACACATATTTTGCACATAGAATAAAATATTGCTAAAAATCTCTACGTTCAAATTAAATTTATCATTTGCAAAGGTATGCAAAAGTAAAATATCAATGAAAAATCATATTATTTATATAAACAATATATCTTTTTAACATTTCAAATGATTGGATGATTTAAAAAATTAAGATCTTTTTAAGTGTCTGTTGAACACTTTGATGATGAGAATATCTGCGAATATCAACATATTATCGACGTGAAATTGATAAGAATCGAGTTAAAATCACGAATTATGAAGGATGATAAAAATAGGATAAAGTATATGTTAGATGATAAAGTATTTTTGTTAGAAGGTATTTTAATTCTAATGCACAAATAGGTGATAAAATTTACACATAAATTATGAATTTTTTAAAATTTTCAGATTTAAAGGTCAATACTTCCTGACTTTATAGTTTATAGACTTTATAGACTTTATAGACCAGACACGGTTAGAGATTCAAATTTCATTGAAATTTTAGCATGTATATGTCTGCCACAATAATGCGGTACATATTAATAACATTATTATTTTAAATACGATAGGGTAGGTACGCCACTAAAGAATTTCGCTACCCGATGATATGACTACACTGAATCCATCTGTGGAATATTTTAAGATGATTACACCACTTTCATGACAATAGCATTTTTCGCCTTACGTTAAGCAAATATTATATTTTACTTTTACTCTTAATACATTTTATTTTAGTCAGTGAATTTTATCATACATTAATTTATTATTTGCATAAGTTCGTAATATATTTTGGCATCAATGATCGTTAGTAATAGGTGTCAGTATTATTCGTTAATAATAGTGGTGTGCAGCATTTTGCTCTCTATTTACGTATAAAATTTTTTTATTACATGATTTATCATCATAATACGTGTGTATGTACATCTAGAACTTTATTAGGTAAAATATTTAATCTACAGATATAACATATAACAAGATCCATAAAAAATGAAATTACGCCATATGAAAGTATAATTCAATTGATTACAACGTAAATCGAAGAATAGTGCACTTTTTGTGAAATTTTATTCTTACATATGCCTAGATCGATGATCCTTAGCATTTCGAGGGATTTTAATCTACATTTTCTTCTCGATGAATGTTAGAACACGATTTGCTGGAACTGTCATTCATACACAGTCAATATATCTAAGATATCCAACATGCTTTGACAATACTATCTACTATTATACTGTTATGCTTATGTTTGTTAGAATGGCTAGTACGCGAGTTTATTAAAATGTTTCTGTCTGTAATGATATTATTTAGGACTAATACATTTGTATTTATGTATATATGAATGTATGCATGGGTGTAACATATACGTGTGCGTACCTGGAAATAATGGAAATGTCTCATTAGATACTAGTACAAGAGAAGGCAGATGCTTCTTTAAAGACGCAAATCGCAAGCTCGATAATCACTAAGTAATAATATATCGCGTTGCGAAATTTTATTATTTATTCAAAAAGTTTACTACTCATCTCCATACTTGCACCTTAATCACATACACACTGGCACACCAACTAACGCTTACCACAGACGCACTTACCCACATAAGTAAGTTAGTCTTTATAAATTTTGAAAATCTATCGTAAAAAAGATTTTATTCTTATATTTATTTTTATAATATAATACTTGTTTGTAATAATATTGTTGACATATATAAACTTGGCACTTATGTCACAAATATCAAGTAACGTTTATAAATGAATATAATTAAAAATGCTCTCTCTCGCTCACAGGCACACACACACACTCTCTCTCTCTCTCTCTCTCTCTCTCTCTCTCTCTCTCTATCTATCTCTCTGTCATTTTGTCTCATTTTCTTCCTCTCCTACTCTATAATTATCATTCTATTATCATTCTACCATCACCACATTGATCAGCCGTACATATTACGCATTAGCATAGCTGCAGGAGTCCATGTCATAGACGGATTTTTGGTAATGTTTCCGATGGCTACGTGAAACCGTGTAAAAGTTGTTATAAAACCGAATTCATTTAACGTAAAATCATGGGAAATATGAGCAGGTCATTTGACACACAGTTAAAAGGGATTCCTGTCAATGAATCCCATTCGTTGCACGCCGTTTACAAAAGGTCAATGGGCAAGTGTGCATGTCATTATGTACGTGTTGTTGCTTATGTAATACGCGGGCGCGCCCGTTTGTATCCGTGCGTCCGTGTGTTTGTGTGTGTATTATAGTCGATCAAAAAGTCCAAAAAGGAGTCTCACGCATCTTATTGAGCGCTCTCAGAAATACGCGACGACCAGTGCTACGATTCAAACAGCCAAAAATGAGGGTACTTTATTTAAAGTCATTTATCTTTTAGCGATACAATGGAATACATCGTTTAGAGTGATTAAAGTAGCCTATTATAGATCGAGTGGGCGATTTCGTGAACATCGTCGCGAGGATTTAGCCGCTGGAGCAGCCAGTCAAGGGGCGCGAAACACTACTTCCATTGGGTCGGTCGGTAAACTCGCGCGCGCATTCGCGGGGCGTCGCGGGCCCCCTCTCCGGTCACAGAATGTCCGTCTCGTAAAGCTTGCCAGCGGTAATGGTCGTAGCATCCGTCGCTGGGGCCGTGAGGTTGCTCAACGAGCCAGAACTGGCGGCCGCGGTCAGTCCAAGGCCCATCTTGGCTAGAAGATTGCTCTCCGAGCCCGTCTTCTTCAGGAGATCCGGGGGTGCGGGCGGAGCGTTGGTCGTGCAGCTCGAGGCGTTGCGCTGGAGCTGCTGCAGCCGCGCGTACTGCTCTTGCAGGGCCTTCTGTTTACGGAGCAGCTCTTGGTGTCGTTGCTCCAGCTGCTCGTGTCGACCGCGTTTATTTTGCAGACCCTCCTGTGAGTTGACGCTCTCGCAGGAGCTCGAGTTGCTGGTGGAGAGGGGACCGGGCCCGGGCGCGGGACTGGCACCTGGTCCCGGGCGCGCGTTGCTCTCCGAGGCAGCCTTTACCAGGGGGAGACCGCGACGTAGCGGGGCCCTCGGGGGAAGCTGCGGACTCGTGGGACTAGCGAGAGGCGAACGCGAGCTCGTTCGGGGCGGCGGGGGTGGAGGTGCGCGTCGAGTACTCGCCAGCTGCAAGAGTTCGGCGTTGCGTTCAGGAAGGGGCGGCTTGGGTGGCGTTATAGGGAGCTCGTCGGTGATGGGGCCGTCGGCCTCGGATTCGCCCTCCCCGGGACAGGAGTGAAGGCGGCGTTGCGCTGGCTGACCCGGATTAGGATCGATGCTGCTTTTGCGCCCGACGTCGGGGACATTCGCAACCTGGGAGAGCTGCGAACTCGGCCGGCTAAAGGTCTGGAGCTCGTCTAGCAGAGCGTCGAGTGCGTTCTCCGGACGCTGGGTATGGCCGCCGGTGCTGTGTGATGATTCGGTAGACTCCCGGCTTCCCCCAGAGATGAAGGCTGATGAGCCCAGAGGAGCTCGTTCCGCTGGCACTGGGGTAGTTGCCTGCTGTGACCAAATGCACCCAAACGGATGCGGCCAAACAGACAAATGTGTGTAGATATATAATAAACTAATGCAGATAAGTTGGTGTGTTGCGTCTATATTAACTAAATAAATTTGTTAAGAATAAAGAAAGGGGCGCCAAGGTAACTATTGGCAAAATTCTTCTTTATTCTTACTCAACAATTATTTACGATTATTGCTCAGTACTGCAAGAAGATACTCCGCAGTTTCGAACTTTAGTCACATTGACAATCCTATGTCGTATTCAACGAATTATTGTCAACTTTTTGCAATACTGGTCTAATGAAAAATTAACTTTGTAATATTTTTATGATAATATGCATTACAAAACGTGCATTCTATTACATGTAGTAAATAGCCATCTTTCAACACGACTTCATTCGACTATGTACATTACGCAACTTATTAAATTTTCATTTTCAGATAAAATTATACACTTTTACTATTATAATAATGCATTAATGCATACGCATGCATACACACACACGCACACGCTAACGCGCACGCACGCACGCACGCACGCACGCACGCACGCACGCACACACACACACACACACACACACATATATATCCGTGTGCGCGCGCGCGCGTGTATGCATGCACGTACGTATGCATTTATGTACATATATGTATATATAATCATGCAACGCTGTGTATATGAGTAACAAATATGCATGCAAAGACATAATTATCTCGTAATAAACACTATTGCAACATCTAAATGTATTATATAATATATACCGCAATTACAAATATTTGAAATAAGCTTATACAAGATAATTGGAAAAATAAAACAAAATTTTACTATCTAAAAAAAAAAAGAAAAAAAAAACGAGGGATGTTGGAATAGTTACCTTCGTCAGGGTTACGTATTGTTCATGGTACACGTGTTACAAGTCAGTACCCGATTGGGACACTGTTACGTTTGGCATCGAGCGCTGTCCAGTATTAGTCAACTTAAAACAAAACAAAAATACGAAAAAGCAAACATTTAAAAACATTAAAATAAACTCTCGGTCCGTTTGTAGAAACAGATAACAATGCAGTGCAGAATAATTAATATACGCAAGTAAATTAATTGAATGAATAAGTTAAATATTTGATTCTTGAAAGCGTCGAATATTATTTATCTAGTATTTCTATTATTATTAATGTGTGGAAATTAATATACTTATTTAAATATAATATTTAATTATATACATAAAATAATTTGAAAAAAAAAAGAAAAAAATATATATATGTATATATATATATATATATATATATAAGCGTTCTAAATGAAACATGATTCAAAAGCCGATTGAATCTTTGAATCTTTTAATTTGAAAGCATAGTGATTATATGAAATGCATTGGTAATTGTAAAGCATTTAAATATAATATAATTTGCATACAAATGAGAAATATTAATTATGAATAATAAAAAATATGATAGACTACTATTAAGATAATACGCGAAAAGAAATAGATAAAATAAATGACAATGTCGTCCATTTCATGTAATATAGGAGTAGTATGAGTTTGTATATGAGCAATAAACTTAAGTAATATAAAAATCTAAAGCTACAATTATATGACACAACTTCTAAAAATGTTAGGACAAATTATTACTAGTAGTAAAATAGTAATACATCATGCTTTGTAATATATATTGTCAATATTTTGATTCATGCTTAATTGTCTATGTACGTAAGTGCATATGTTCTGTGCAATCATTATTTATACATATGAAAAGAAAGAGAGTAACGATTTATGAATTAGAAAAGCAGAAAAAATATAATATGCAAAGTCTTCAGTCCAATCCTTATAGTAAGGCAGTAAATGTTTGAACCGAAAAATTAAATAGTGTAAACTAATTTCATTATTATCAACATTGTTGTACATATTGTTCATAAGTATTTATTATGAAAAATATAATACAAATTTATAATATTTACATAGTCATATTTTAATAACATTAAACACAAATAATTTTAAATAATTTTTTAAATGAAGACTGATATATCAAGCATAACAGAAGATACACGAATGAAGTCTCAGTCAAGGATATATAAATACATAAGTAAACATATGTAGAATTTACATGTGTGCGTGGGTATACAACACGATGGTAATTTTCAACATTTAAGCAGTGAACATAAAAATAATACTTTTAAACAATACCTTAATGCTATAAACATAAAAGAGGACTTATACTTGTGCCAATTAGTCAAATTCTTAATAAATAAAACTAAATCACGTGGTCCAATTGCGAATAAGATTTTTTAAAAATCTTTCTCTATGGCGTTTATTACAATAATAAAAGATATATTAAATGAGCAAATCGCTATCCTTCCAAAAAAAAAAAAAAAAAAAAAAAAAAAAAAAAAAATGTAAATATAGTTTTAGTATCGCGACTTATTCACAAATGCGCACCCGTACGTACATGCGTTTTGTCAAGAGGGTCTCGACGAGAGGAAAGCGTGTACGACAGATTAATGTATTGATATTACATAAGTTAACAATTTTTTTGCTCTAATCGAAAAACTACGCATTCATCACATTGAAACCCGATCCGCACGTCGTCTTTGGAAATCATGCTAATAAACACAACTTTCCACATTAGAGATATTTAATAGTACACAAATTTTGTAACTTCAATTTTTATGTAAAAGAAACATTATACACTGCGGATAATAATTAATTGAGCTAAGTTAATACACTTTAAACTTATAAAAGAAATAAACCTATTACAATAATTAATTCATAAACAATTCTCAAATCATTTTCTTTCTTTAGATTCTCTTAAAACTAATATCGATACATTCTCTGTAATTAATTTTACAATAACATCGATATTTCTAAAAATTGTGTTTATTAGTAATGTAGATTATTGCTTTCTAATTGTTTAATACGTTTTTAAATAATTTTGAAGAGCGTAAATTTGGAAAAAATTAAAACCTTTGAATAAAATTTTAATCATTTTTATTCGTAAGTGAAACTTACAATGAACAATTTTGCAAATAAATACCGTTGATATTTCGATATGTTTGACGATGAAATATTTGATAAAAAATACATACAATACCTTGAAGAATTTGAACTATTAACTTTAAGATATCCATGTTTAAGATAAATTTTGAAATAAAGAAAACAACTATTACATGAGAAAACAGATGATCATAACGATTCGAGATCTTCATGCAGGATCTTCTATCATTATATTTATGAACACAAAGATATGATGTACTTTGTGAAAATAAGTTGTTCAAGAGTATTGTTAGCATGCTATTCATTAAAAAAATTATCAACGGTCGAATATATTTTTAATGGCTTGTATTATAATTTAACATCTTAATGTGTGTAATATTTTAACTTGATTATGCTTTATTAGGTAATTCATAACCGCCAATATATTCGCAAATAGTAAATATTTTTCCTAATTAAGGGGATGTACATTATCTTCTTATACCATATGATAGTGTCAATCGTATAGTAATATTATTATTTAATTAAATATTCAAATAAAAATTATAGAATAATTAATTTCACATGTAATAACCTTTGAATAGAAAAAACGCGTAATTATATAGCTTTCAAAAATATTTCAATGAACCCTTGACAGTTGTTGAAAACAAATTTCTCCAATATGATTCGAATATAATATAAATACCTTGTATTAAAAACTTGAAAATGTACTATTGAATTAGGTGTTTTATCTAATATGAAATTTAAATAATTTTGAAATTAGTATCTTATGTCGATACAAAAGATGTATCTTAGATCATTCAATAAAGATATTGCATATCCTCTTAAAGTTAAGCTAATAAATTAGGATATTCATGGGCAAAGGAAATCCAATGTAAACCTTGAATGCACGATTCTGACACCTTACTATAAGAAATGGATTGGAATATTAATAATATACATATATGGATATATATATATATGTGTGTGTGTGTGTGTGTGTGTGTATCTTGTGCGCAGAAAATGGTGAAAACAACACCTTACATGTTGTATCAAATAAATACATTCAACAATGAATGTATATTCTTGAATATTGCATCTACGTGTAAAGCATTGTTCTGCGCCTTTCTTCAAATATCGTATGTAACATTTTTTTAATATAAAAGTTCATGTCAAATAAGAATATACAATAAATATAATACAAATATAAAATAAAAAATGGGTGAAGATTAATATAATTAAGAAGCAACATCGTAATAAATGTGCTAGTGAAAATTGAACAAATGAACGAGGATCGAAATGTAAATATGTAAGTATAATGAAATATTTAGATTAAAATAAAAAATAATAATAAACAATGTTGGCTAAAACATGAGCGTCAAAGATAATACGTTCTCTTATAGAAGGATGACGCATAAAATTAGGATTAGTTTAAAAAAGTGCAAAAATTTCATCGTATAACGTGCATACGTACAAAAATGAAACACGCACCAACACACATATTCAAACGCCTATGCACGCGCTCACGCACACACCTATACAAAAATATTCTCAAAATTAAAAATACTATCGATTGGCTATAGAGTAAGAAGAAAATTCAAAAATATATAATACATCTTCGATTATTGCAAATAAATCACGTAGCATGAATCTTAATTAAAATTGAACTAATAAAGATATACAATATAATTAAAATTTGAAATTGAAAAATAATTCTTGTTTTTGTAAATATCTAATAACAAGATAATGGAATAAATATTCCTTGCACTACTATCTTATTAATTGTTACATAATATATTTAAATCAACACAATATAACACCTTAAACCTAAGCGTGATTTATTTTAAGGGAAAAAAAAAGAATTCAGCGCATAGAAAGACCGTGGTTCTTGCAAATACTAATTCATTTGGATTGTCAATTGTAAAACGAAATGACATTAAACAATTTCATTATATATATGTATATATATATATATATATATATATATATATATAAATTATATATATTATATTATATATAAATATAAATTATTATATATAAATATAAATAAATCATTATATATATATATATATATATATATATAATTTACAGAATGATTTTGATGTACCACTTAAAACATTTAATGAGCAGTCTAATAATCGTCATTTAAAATATTTTTACACAGTTGTAATATGTAAATATGTAGTTTTGTTATGTATTTGTATATACTTTTACAAATTTATATTCAAACTTTCTAATATATTAATATATTAATATTAATCATTTCTAAGTCATTGAAAATTGATCTATATTTTTTAATTAAATGCATAATTAACTTTATTGTATTTGATTCAATTTTGAATTATTGTTATAAAAATTGTTTAATTTAGTTTTATATGTTAAAGTTTTCGATTCTATAAAATAATTTTAAATTCTGGATTTCCTAATTAATTTCTATAATTTTCATTTTATATTAAATTTTAATAATATTTCTTAACTTCTAATAATATCTTAAATTTCTTTACTTTCTACAGTTTAATTAAATTATAGCTTAATTAATTTTTACAATTGGTTACATGTTTTTACACATTATTTTTGATTAATAAATCTTCTTTTATTTGAATAAGATTAAAATTACAAATACAAAAAGCTTGTAACGATAATATTTACAATAATATAAATATATTATAATTTAATAAATTAAAATTTGAAAACTTCCTGATAATTAAACGATTAGACAAAGCTACATTTTAGCATATCAATTAAATAACATAGAATATTACAGTATAAAACGTTTACAGAATTAGACAGTTAAACTTATATAGTATAAATATGAAACTGTACAAAGTAATTGATATTTATTTTATTTTCAGACTATTGATTTATTACACTTTCGTAACAAATTTATAAAATTTAATACACATATTAATTAATATTTCGTATCATTGATATATAACGTGATGAACTCACCACTGTGTATAAAATTGAAATGCGTGCCTCGGTTTGATATTAGAATCAAATTATTATAATTAAAAATTTTTGTAATATATTATTTAATTTTTAAATAAAAGCAAAAGTGCGATTATTTATAATATTTATTAAATTTAATACATTATTACATAATAGTTTCTATTATTTTTTATATAACTTTTACAGTATTTTATTTAAGATTTAGCATATTATCATAATATAATTATTAATGAAATTCATGTTAGAATGAGAACTATACTAACTATATGAGTATTTAAATTAATATACTATTTTAACAATTTGAGAATACTAGTTTTGATAATTTGATTTAATAATAGAATAAATATATACAATATTTATACGGCACTGCTCATTAAAGTATTTAATTTATATTTGACTTATATTAGTTAATTTATCATATACACCAAATCCATTCGTTCTTTTTTTTTTCTAAAATGATTATGTATTTAAATATATAGTCTTAAAAAACAAAAAGGCAATTATGTTTTGTCGAAGTATCTGTTTACTCATAACGAAATATAAGTACATCAATAACAATTTGGAAAATAAGATAATTAAATATTATTATATTTATAATATAATAATATACTAAAGATAAACAGCAAGCGTGAATGAAACACGATTAAATCGAATGATATGTAAATTGTATGTATATTATTGCATATTGGTAAAGTTGTCCTTTTACTTTAATGTATCTATTTTGTGTGTAATGGTTGTTTTCACTTTTGTACTTATCATTCTTTGTACCGTATAGATTTTCGAAATATTCCGCCAAGTACGTCAAAAGAATTTTTATTTGCTAACGTTTTTCCTTCTTAGTATACAAAACAACATGTTTGAAATAATTTTAAGGAGAGGCAGAATAATTCGATATCATGAGAAACGACAAAATATATATATATTTTATTTAAAATTGTTGGAATATGCATATTGAACAGTAAAGAAATGAATGAGATAGAGCTGAAATATATGTATTATAAAAATAAATTAATTAGAAAGAACTGGAAAAAATTACTCATGACTGGTCTGTACCGCCTCCTTGAAGTTTCTACTGTTGATCCAGTCATACTATAACAATTCATATTATATACCGTTAAGTTGCTTATTCACGTATTATATGACATTACGATGACATATATATATATATGTGTGTTAAATTCTTAAAAGCATAATCATCAATGCGCTTTTTAATATGCCTGATTAAAATTTTTCAAAATTTATTTAATATTCTTTTAACAATATCGATGATATCTGGATATATTATGTGCACACATACTATCACTCCTTTCTCCCTTACTATCTCCCTTTCTCCAATCACTCAATTTCTCTCTTTCTCTCTCTCTCTCTCTCAATTATTGTTAATAGAATTATTATCATTAATTATTGGTAATTTCATTATTTAATTATAATAAAAATTATTATTATCAACATAATCTTTTAATAAAAATTGCGACATTAATATATTTATTATCATTTTTAATTTATATCAAAATATGTTTATATACACGTTGTTTAAATATAAATTATATTATTGTTTACACGTAACTCATTGCTGTTAATTAAATCGATTGCTTTAATACTCAAAACTTGACCAAACAATTTAAGAATTGAAATTTTACTAAAGTTAAGAAAATAGAAGATACAATACAATCATATTTGGTAAATCAGAAACTATTTATATTAATATACCTAAACTGTCAAGAACAATGAATATGAGATTTAGGATTTCATATAAAAAGGATTATTTTTCATCTAATGAATATAGGAATGATTAGCTAGCACTAGTGGTAAATATTAGAAAGAGAGTCGAGTTTTAACAGATTAATTAATTTAACTGTCCTTCATTTGTGAAGAGAAGCTTTATGCTAAATTTTTCAATTAAAATTTTTAAAAACTTTGAGGAAATAATAGTTTTTAATTTTTAATGCAAATACAATTTTAATATTAAATATTAATTTTAACAATTTATAAATCTTGTATGAAAATATTTTATGAATTTTATTGGAATACTGTTTTACTATAGTGTATGATTTATGTTTGTTTTTTCTGTGTATACCAATAATAGTACAAGTGTTTCACTGCTTTAAATTGAAGAGATTCGTCAGAAAAAAGTTCAATAAAAAAATAAGTAATATATTATGATATCATTATTTCAAATCTGTCGATAACAGTGAAGTGAAAATTAAAATGAAATTTAAAATATTACTGTAATAAATGAATTACAGTAAATGATTCAAGTGCGATATAAAAAATAAGTGGAAATGAAAAGGTATAAGATTTAGTATTTTGATATTTTCTAAATACCTAAGTAATTTCAGTTTTTTTTACAATACATGTCTTACTAATATATTTAATAAATTAAAAAATTGAGTCATGTAGAAATTTTCTATTGCACTTTTATTATTTTTAGTTACAAAATCCAAAAATAATATTCTAATTAATAAAAAACATATTATTTATTGAATCTTTTTCTAATATAAAATAAATTAGTATTTCGAAAAATATATTAAAATCAATATAGGAAACGAAAATGGAAAATGAATAATTCACCTACCGAAGCATTTTTACAAATTTAACTTTACAATAAACTTGCAACTAATTGTTCTAATCAAGATTCTTACGTACCTACACACGGCTATAATCTTTTGTTGCGAATACTTGATTTGAAATGTCGTTATTTTTGTTAATGATCCTGGTAATAATAGTAACAAAATAATAAAAGCAAACTGACACAGCAATATGGAACTTTAATTTACGAAGGTTTACATCAGATTTCAATTTTATTACTAATACAATTTAATACAAATTTATAATAAAATTAAAAAAAAGTTTGCTTTGAATATTAATTATTTGTTCTCATTATGATTATTATTATGATTATGCTGAACATGATGATGATGATGATGATGATGATGATTGATGATGATGGTGATTATGATGATGATAACTAATATTATTATTATTATTATTATTATTATTATTATTATTATTATTATTGTTATTGTTATTATTATTATCATTGTTGTTGTTGTTGTTGTTATAATAATAATAATAATAATAATAATAATAACAATAATTATTATTATTATTATTATTATTGTTATTATTACAGTTATTATAGTTATTATTATTTTATCTGTTGTTATTGTTTTTTTTTCTTTTATTATGATTATTAATATTTGGAAATACAATATTTTATAATTAAAAAATCATTGTAGACCAACTTATAGAACGTTAATAAACATTTATTTGTACAGTTTCATAATATAAATGCTTTATACGTTTTATAATGAAAATGGTTAAAATAATGTGTCGTATATTTTTTAAATTTAAATATTTAAAAATTCGAATTTCATGGATAAATACCGATAGACTATTGGTATATAAAACATCATATCCGATCTTAACGAATAGGTTAAAGAAATACATGTAAGCACGAGTTTTTGAAACAGTCTGTCAGTTGTACATTTGTACTTTTATCTGTTTCATTTGTATTTTTATTTTTCTCAATTTCCTCTTTAGTTAATTTTTTCTCTTATTATTTGTCTCTTCCTCTGTCGATTAATCTCTCCACTAAACGCATGTCCATATTATAGGGAATTAATTACTAGATGTGGTCGCCACATTGTGATAATGAGTACTAACTTCAAATACAGAAATTTTTGTTTGAATTGAAAAAGAGTGAAACTCTCGTAACACGACGACGTCTCTTTCTATTGTATTAATATCTGTCTTATTCAAGCAAATTCTCCGAATGAATAGTTTAATTTTAACATGCATCAAGGTAAATCGGACGTGGGTATGAAATATGAACTATCAAAGGTTTGAAAAAAATGCATAGCAATTGTATGAATTAAAATGAAAAAATAGAAAATAAAATAAAACTTATGAAATGATATAAAAATGTCAAATTAAGACAAGACAGAGTAGGGAAAAATCATTTAAAAATTTAATGAATCATATAATATACAAATCAAGCTTGTGTTGTAAAGATCTTTACCTTAGAAAATTGTGCCGTAGTTGGTGTGATTAGTGTTGCCTCATCACCATCGGCACTTCCTGTAGAGTTTGGCAAGCGTTGTTCCTGTACTGATGCCAAGCTGGAAAAATGTTGCGATTTATTGATACATACTTAATAAATATACAATGCATAATTTATTATTCGTCGAAGGGAAGGAAATTAACTACGTCGATTATAGTTATTCTTTAAAATTACCGTTTAAGAGTAACAAGGGTGCCTGTTAATTTTTTGCAACGTTTGAGATCTGACTCTAGACGATCTGGTTCTTCATTTAAAAATTTTTCTTTTCTCATTACTTTTTCCATCTCGGAACTGAGTAAACCCTTCATACCTTCCTGTAAGTTCGGAAAACGAACTTTCAAATCTGCTACTGTTTGGCTGTTCAATCAAATAATAAAATGGTTAGTATCTTCGCAATATCACTTTATAATCTAATATAATATCCACTATTATACCTTGCTTTATTGAGAATTAATGCCATATTCTCAACATCGGACATGTTAACTCGAGTTTTACGATTTATCACATTACCTCGCAGTTCTTCTACGGTGCTTTCCAGTCCACTTATGTAAATAAACCATTTTTTTAAAAATTTTTTAATTTATAGAAAAGAGAAATTATTTAAAATAAATATAAATAAATTAAATTAAAACAATTTGCTAATTTATGGCGAATATTTACAAATATAATGAATATTGAAAACTTACGTAAGATCCTTTTCCAGCCATAACATCTCTTGTTTATAAAGATCTTCTTCTCGACTTAATCTTAATTTTTCTGCATCGTCATTTGCCCATGCATTATCTCCGCTTGATAAGAGAGTTGCTCTAAAAATATTTATTTCAAAATAAAATTGCAATATATTGGATGAATAGATAAATATACAATTCTGAACATCTAGTAATATATTCTATCATTCAATTAGTAAATAAATTAAGAAGTAAATCGTAAATAGTAAATTAATAGCAAATAAATGTGAAAATATCTAATAGCTGAAATATACATAATGAATATTCCTTTTAAATGATTTGTGAATCAATTAAATATTTTTATCTTTACACTCTT